TAGGTGATGTGGACTCATAGGTGTGTGATTGATTTTGATTATTGAGTAGAATTTTGTGATAAATGTGTGATACTGGAAGAAGATCATTAATCTCCATTATAATGTATTCCTCCGACAAATGTTATGATTAACCAATGAATGTTTGCTACATGCTGTTTAGACATTTTCTACGTTTTTCTCTGAAAAATGCTATAATTGCAAGGAAGACCAGCTTACACATAGAAGCCTACATACAGGATCACAGCAACGAAGACCAGCTTACATGCCATTATTTTTATGTTATTATTTGAGATTTTTCCCTTAGGTACTCAGCTCTGGGCTTTCCCTGGAGGGGGTGGTTTGGGGGGGCCTCTCTCCTCCTTGGATGGCTAACCTGGGGACAATAGGGACATTTGATTTAGTTTGACATGATAAAAGTCGTGTCAAAAGGGGGAATTTGTTAGAAATTAATAGATTTTAATGTTATTAAGGCAGTTTAGTAGTCTGCTCATGTGTGCTCTGCTTCAAGGTTAGAAGATAACTTTATATTGTGGCTTTCAAAATAAACCAGCACTAAAATGAAGCAAGTTGGACTTTGTCTTCATTCAGATCTGTACAATAAAATAACTGGGGTATAACATAGCATTCATGTCACGATTATGTGCACCTGTGTTCACCTCTATTTAGGCAGTGTCCTCCCACAGGACGCTGCCAGATTGTTCTAGACCCCAGCTCTGACTTTCCAGCACTATATTCGGTTTTTGGTATTTGTGTTTCTGACTCGGACTGTTTTACTGGATTACTCTGTTCTGCCTTGCCCTCTTATCTCGGACTGCTTATGTGTATCTCCGTATAAATGCACCTGCACTGTGATAGTCTCAGAGGTCTGTTTAAAGCGCAGAGAGCATCATGAAGAACAAGGAACACACCAGGCAGGTCCGAGATACTGTTGTGGAGAAGTTTAAAGCCGGATTTGGATACAAAAAGATTTCCCAAGCTTTAAACATCCCAAGGAGCACTGTGCAAGCGATAATATTGAAATGGAAGGAGTATCAGACCACTGCAAATCTACCAAGACCTGGCCGTCCCTCTAAACTTTCAGCTCATACAAGGAGAAGACTGATCAGAGATGCAGCCAAGAGGCCCATGATCACTCTGGATGAACTGCAGAGATCTACAGCTGAGGTGGGAGACTCTGTCCATAGGACAACAATCAGTCGTATACTGCACAAATCTGGCCTTTATGGAAGAGTGGCAAGAAGAAAGCCATTTCTTAAAGATATCCATAAAAAGTGTCGTTTAAAGTTTGCCACAAGCCACCTGGGAGACACACCAAACATGTGGAAGAAGGTGCTCTGGTCAGATGAAACCAAAATCGAACTTTTTGGCAACAATGCAAAACGTTATGTTTGGCGTAAAAGCAACACAGCTCATCACCCTGAACACACCATCCCCACTGTCAAACATGGTGGTGGCAGCATCATGTTTGGGCCTGCTTTTCTTCAGCAGGGACCGGGAAGATGGTTAAAATTGATGGGAAGATGGATGGAGCCAAATACAGGACCATTCTGGAAGGAAACCTGATGGAGTCTGCAAAAGACCTGAGACTGGGACGGAGATTTGTCTTCCAACAAGACAATGATCCAAAACATAAAGCAAAATCTACAATGGAATGGTTCACAACTAAACATATCCAGGTGTTAGAATGGCCAAGTCAAAGTCCAGACCTGAATCCAATCGAGAATCTGTGGAAAGAACTGACAACTGCTGTTCACAAACGCTCTCCATCCAACCTCACTGAGCTCGAGCTGTTTTGCAAGGAGGCATGGGCAAAAATTTCAGTCTCTCGATGTGCAAAACTGATAGAGACATACCCCAAGTGACTTACAGCTGTAATCGCAGCAAAAGGTGGCGCTACAACGTATTAACTTAAGGGGGTTGAATAATTTTGCACGCCCAATTTTTCAGTTTTTTTATTTGTTAAAAAAGTTTGACATATCCAATAAATTTCGTTCCACTTCATGATTGTGTCCCACTTGTTGTTGATTCTTCACAAAAAATTACAGTTTTATATCTTTATGTTTGAAGCCTGAAATGTGGCAAAAGGTCGCAAAGTTCAAGGGGGCCGAATACTTTCGCAAGGCACTGTACGTGTTTGCTGGCTCTGACCTGGGACCGATACTGACCGTGAGTTTTTGTTTCCACCGTGTCTTGTATGGTTTTTTGTTTAGTTTTAGTTCTCTTAATGAAGAGACGGTTTTGTTTTACACTTCCTCGTCTGGCCATTTAATTGAGTTCACAACACTTTTCGGCCGCATTATGCGCGCCGTTTCTGACAATTCAGACAGACACAGGGACAGAGACTCCATGAGAGCAGAGATGTTGTACTTACACTTAGTTACACTGAGTTCATTAAAAGATAGTTTGGCCACACATTTAATTATTGATTGATTGCCAGATCTTGTGTGGGACGCAACTGCTCCAACAAAAAGAAGACACGCTGTCTCCACTGAAACCGAAGTCAGTGCAGCATCACACAGTTTATTAACAAAGCAGGTGCAGCAGCAGTGGTGATTTGGTTCAGTTTTCACAAAGAAAAAGATTTTTGACTCCTGAGAAGCCACATTGGTGGTGTAGTGGATTCGCCTCAATTTAATTTAGTAATTGTGATCAATTAATTATACATAAATTACTAATCAAATTGTCAATCTTTAGTCTGCAGAGTAAATTCTCTATACAGTGACTTTATAGTTTAACAAAAAAGAGGCCAGAACTAAATTTTATGTTATTTATTAATCTACATAAACAAAGTGAATACAAATTCAGTTCAAATGTGAAGTGAAGACAAAACAGAACAACAAATGAAAATGATTGTGTTAGGTATTTTTAGTCAGATAGACATTGGTTAGACACTTCATGTATTAGAAATGTTTAGTGTAGACAGGATGTCTAGCTCAGGCTGTTAAATGCTTAGTCATTCCCATGGGGTACTCCAGGTTGTTTATGTTCAAGGATAACTAGATAGAAAGTTGATTACTGTTAGGAGACAGAATGTTTATTATTATTATTATGGCGTGTTTAATCATAATCGTAATCATAATATTTTCTTATGCTTAATGTTTTGACTAGATGTCATGTCAGAATGTCTTAAATACACACCACACAATCAACAGACAATCACACATTGATTTTCTTCATAATTTGACTACTGCTCTGGTCAGCTGCAAAGCTGGCACCGGAGATGTCACGGTTTGGCGTCCTTGATTAGTATGGGCTAGCCCAAAGTGATCTAATGTATAGGCCTGTTATGGTTCGGGGGGCTTTGGCCATCTTCCGGCTGCCTGCATGCATGTTGGAGGTGCAAAGACTCCTGAGCGTGTAATGTTAATTTTACCTGTGATCCTTGAATAAATCAGCACTGTTTTGAAGTTACTCGGACTGCTTCGTCTCTCAGAGTTAACATGGTGAAAAGAACGGGGGTAAACACATGTGAACCAAAAGGTCCCTGTTATATTTGAAAGTTTTCTTATGTGTTTCATAACACTTTAAAGACTTTCTATCTGTGGAAGGATCAGAGTCAGTCTCTGACAGGGGAGAGGTGTCTACATTGCTACTGTGACTTGTGTCTTTGTGACGTCTCCTCTTTGGCTTTGGCTCTGCATTACTAGCTGATCCTGAGTCTCTATGCTGGCTTCCTTCCTGACCCTGGTTCTCAGCTACAGCAGAGCTGTGACAGAGGTGCTGCTGGTCACTGGTTGGTTCTGCTTCACTGTGGTCATTATCCTCATAAGTAGGAGTCAACATAAAGGGATTGGTCTCCTGCTTCAGTCCAAGCTGCTCTCCCTCCTGACTGCTACAGAGTTCCTCCTGTTCCTCTTTAATCTGTGGAGGCTCTGGGTCCTCTTGGTCCAGACTGGAGTTCCTCTCCTGGTTCCAGAGCTGCTGGTCAGCCAGAACCTCCTCCTCCTTACAAACATGTTGCTATGGCAGCTCTGGAGGGACAAAGGAAGGAACAGGCCACTGATGTGATGAGGATAAAACAAAAGCAATGTTTATTATTCGCCTGCTTCTTAGTGGAATTTTTACAGTCTATCTTAAAAATTTCTGTAGAGGACATTGTTCATATTGTCATTTTCAAGCTGAACTGAAAATTGTAACGATTAAGGTAATAAATTCAATTAACAGCAGCTTCCTCTTTAGACTTGAATGAAAGGTTTCGTAATTAATTTATACATTAACAGATTGATGCTGTAACTTCAAATCAGTCACAGTACCATGTTCAGAAGGTTATCCCAAAAAATGCAAGAGGGAAAAAACTGCAAAGGGGAAAAAAATGAAGAACTGAATTCAGAATAAAAGCAGTCTTCCGGTCAATGTGATTTCCCTTTCATTCAGTCAGTCCTTCTGTCAGTAGTAAATGAATTAATAAATAAGCAAATAAATGCATAAATACATTAATAACCAAATTAAACAATAAGAAAGTCACTTTCAGCTTTTCCCGTTTAGGGGTCGCCACAGCGAATCGTTACACTGACAGCTCTCATGTTGACATATGGCACGTGTTTTACGCCGGATGCCCTTCCTGACACAACCCTGATTCGAACCTGGAGCGCAGCAGGGAGAGCGCTGCGTCATAACCACTAGCCTACCAGGGACAGGCTGCTTTATTAATTCTAATTTCAGATTGATGTTATAAAGAAACTTTCTTTCTACTCTCAGAGTAGAGCCGCTGCTCCTCCATGTTAAGTGGAACCAGTTGAGGTGGCTAGGGCACCTGTTTAGGATGCCCCCCTGGACGCCTCCCTGGGGCTATTTGTAGCCCGGGTGAAATGGTTGTCGCATGGGACGCAATTACTGAGGTCCTTGCAGCTTCGATGTCCAGCAGGTCACAGTTCATTTACACATGAAAAGATATGGACTAACAAAACATGGAGGTATTCTGGGCATGTCCCTCCGGGAGAAGGCTTCGAGGCAGACCCAGGACACGTTGGAGAGACTATTTTTCCCGGCTGGCCTGGGAACGCCTTGGGGTTCCTCCTGAGCAGCTAGAGGATGTGCGTGGGGAGAGGGAAGTCTGCGAGGCTTTGCTCGGACTACTACCCCCCCAACCCAGTTTCGGATAAAGTGGACGAAGATGGATGGATGGAAACTTTCTTTTGTCACAGGACCATTTCACTTCAGAATGATAGTGAACCACCTCAGAGTGTAACCCAGAAAATATCAAGACATTCTGATGTAGCATTTCACAATTAAAGCCCTCTAAATGCCACATAACCATTATATTTGTAGCCCGGGTGAAATGGTTGTCGCATGGAACACAATTACTGAGGTCCTCGCAGCTTTGATGTCCAGCAGGTCACAGTTTATTTACACACGAAAAGATGGAGTAACAAAACACGGAGTACCAAAAGTAAGGGGTAACAAAATACGGCGGTGGGCTCTGGATGCACACACAAACAAAATAAAATAATCTGTAAAAACCAAATAACCAAACACTCACCAAAAAATAAAATACCACATTCATGTACGTAAAGACATCCCACCAAAAGCTCAACAGCTCTATATTGGACACACCGCCACCAGCACCATCAGCATCAATAATACACCGTCTTGTCAGAATTCTGATAGATGACTACTTTAAAGTGTTGATACAACAGAATCCAACAAGATTACACTTCTACTTTTCTACAACATTTCACTCTCAAGCTCAGTCCAACGTAAAGAAAGAAGGGACCACAAAATGTTTGGTCAAGCTTTGGTGGAAGGAACACATCTCATTCCGTACTGCCATCTAGTGGCCAAGGTACTCGGTGACATTAAACTCCAGTAGCCCACTGTAGGTTACTTTTACATAACATCACCAAAATTGAACGGTGTTACATTAACAGGAAAACCATAAACACTGCATGACAATTTTGAATGTTGAAAACCTTTAGGGGACCTTTAACCATCAGTGGAAAACAATTTATTTATTTATCTCCCCTTAGTACATGTTTACCCCCCGGCTACATATTAATTGTTCAAATTGTTCTAACAGGTAGTTTTTTCTGACAAAGTCCACTCCATATTCTATATAATAGTCTGTGAAAACAGAAAGTCTCCTTTTAGTATCGATCTGTGTTTATAGTTAACATAGTGTTTACGTGACATTTGAGGGGGACTTAAATTCGAAATTCTGCATCAAACTGTCCTGATAATTTTGGAGTCAAGCTCTGACGTGGTCCACTATGATTCTCATAAGAAATAGTCCTGTGAAAACAGAAATGTTCCTTTTAATATCAATCTGACCTTAGAACTAATAAAATTTGAATTTATCTATTCCTTCTTTTACAAGAGTCGCACTGACTGAGTGAATGAAAGTGAAAACACGCTCACCGCAATTCTGTATGCAACTTTGAATGAAGCCATTTGTGCTTTGCTGTCCACTGATGCAGATTTTGCCATGAGATTTTCCTGCTATGGTATTCTGCCAGCTTTCTTTCAAAGAAGTCAAGTGGCTTATTAACGTGACTGGGGTGTGTTGTCTCTAAATGTCTTCTTAATTTGTTGGGTCTCATGCTGTCTGCTGCCAGCGGTTTAAGACACAAGACACACATGGGTCTTGCCTCTGCCCCCACCATTCCCACAGTGAATCTAAGCGCAAGATGTGCTTCATTATATTTTCTTTTCAGCTGGCGTTTTGGGTGATAAGGCTTACTGCCTGTTGTTTCTTTGTCTGCTTGCACTGAATCGCCTTTTTTTCTTTGTGGTACATGTAACAAATTTATCCATTTACGTTATTTTGCCCACTACATACACTGTTGGCCCTCTCTGTGAGCGTTTCCTTATATTGTTGCGCGGCAGTTAACATACTGACGTTAAACCGTTATTGTTGCACTATGGTTCCCCTTTTTGTCCCGGGCCCTGAAATGATGTTATTTTAATTTACTTGTATTGACCCATTTCTAATTTTTTCCATTCATTGCACCCCACCTGTCATGTCTTTATTCCCCACTAGTGGGGCGTGCCCCACACTTTGAGAACCACGGCTGTAGATACAGATATCAAATAAATATAAATGGCTCAAACTACAATTTTTGTCTGTTAACTGTGGAGCTTGGACAACAGTTTAACCAGTATTTATTAAAACTGTGCTGCTAAATTTCTCACATATTCAGGTGTGCAGAGACGTTTTTCTTCCATAAAACAAGTAAAGCCACAAATCTGTAATTTCATCTTTCATAAATTACAATAAAGGTGTTTGGTGCTTATAAAACACGACTCACTTTGATTTGTTTTGCACCCCTAATAACTCCAAATAGTAATGTATGTATGTAATTATTTCAGAATAATAAAACCAAAAAGCCTCTTCCTAAAAATGAGAGGATTGTCTGTGAATGCACACAACTCCTGCTGCCAGTGTTGTGTGGAAAGTGAATAGCACAACAAATTTCGATGGCATTAATTAACATGAATTTCCCTTCCATAGATAGGTAAACAAGAGTATATGTGCTGTGAAAAGAGATGTGTTACACTAAACAAAGTGGGCAGCTGAGAAACCCCATTTTCTAAATGGCATAATGCAGACATAGTAACTTCTCCAACCTTACAACAATTCTAACGTTACAGAAACGAGGCATTAACAGCCACCAACATGTGTTTTTAAACTTAGTTAAGTCCCACTGAGTAATGGAAACATCGCTCCCTTTCAAGTAGCTCCAAAGTTGGTAAATCCAACCAGTGGTCGCTGTGTCTTCCCCCACATGACCACATACAGTTCCAAAGCAGTGAAATAAAGGTAGAGTAGCACCAACAATAACATCATGGGCCATTAAGCAACACATCACATGTGGCAGACATGCTGGCCTCAAGCAGTCCAAACAAACGGGTACTGTGCTCTGGGGGAATCCAGCCTTGATAAGCTGATCACTAACCACTGTGGGGGCTTCACTGGCTGGCTGATCGTAGGTTAGATCTGGTTAGGTAAAACAGCGAGTCCCTGTACAGGAACTTTTATGAACATGCAGTAACCTCAGGCCCTGTATTTGTCTCCACATCCTCTGGTCACAGTGCAGCAGCAGGAGGAAAAATATATTCACAAAATCGGACGCAGTTGAAAAATTCCAATTTTACAATGGCACACGTGGATGTTGTTTTATTAATAAGCTTTATTGAAAACATACAAGGCAATAAAACATTTTGCCAATATGGTGGGGACACCGGTGGAAGTTAGGCAAGCTCACATGAATGTGCAATGGACTGGATTTTATACCCATTCAAGGAAATCCTTAAACTATCACATAATGCTTTATTTTGTTACAAAAAAAAGTCTCATAAGCGTGAGATTGTGAGACGTGTATAAACCAAGTTGCTTTTGCACAGAAATACCAGAACACATGTACACATGATCTCAGAGGTGCGCTCACATCTCCCATCACAATACTGCTATAACATAAGGAACTTTTGACTCCTGAGAAGCCACATCAGGGGTGCAGTGGATTTGCCTCAAATTTAATTTAGTAATAAAATAATTGCTTTGGAGCAGCAGGTCCGCTTTGTGCCAGACAAACCATGATTTAATGTAATTATTGTGATCAATTAATCATCCATAAATTACTAATCAAATGAGCAATCTTCAGTGTGAAGACTGAATTTTCTATACAGTGACTTCATAGTTTCACAACAGAAAAGAACAAGGACGGCAGAACTGCATTTTATGTAATTTATTAATCCAAAAAGAAAGTGAACACAAATGCAGTTCAAATGTTCAGTAATGATAGAACAAAGACTGAAAATGACTGATTTAACCTGGTAAGTTTAACTTGATAAAGTTGTGGTGAGAGGAAATGACTGATTTTAGGACCAATGAAGAAGAAAGCTATTAACTGCAAATAGAGGAAAACTTGTAGACGACTGGACAACGAGACTTAGTAGGAATCAGTCTATATGACACCTGCCTGGTCTTGGAGGCAGACAAAAGATGAGTGTCAACCCATAAAAGTAAGCAAAGGAGGCAACCCCAGGATCAAAAAGGGCATGAAGAAAGACTAACAAAAACTGAAATCTGAAACTTGAGTTGTCCAGTTCTAAAAAGCAGCAACCCGCGAGGGTTGGCCGCAGATCTGATGCTCTTGGGTCAGCCACACCCAAAGAGGCTGACAGGAAATATTGACTTTATCTTTATCAAAATATTAAGGAATCCAACTAGAAGTCTAACTACTATATGAGACCAATTTGTCTCTCACCAGAACTTGACGTAAACAACACAGTGAATAAAACCATGTGTCATAATTTGTAGTAGAGAAACGGCTGAATCATGGCGTACACATAGACACAAGTGAACATCTCTTATTCAAGCACAAACGATTCGCAAAATATCTGATAAATGGATAATAATGTCTTTATCTAAAGTACAGGGGTTGGTAGTGAATAAAGTTTTTTTACCAAAATTATGAAGGAATATTAAACAAGTAGTAATTGGTTACAATAAAAACTCTTCATCTACAGTGATCTTACGTAAACATATCTAGGTCAATAAAATCTAATTATACCAACTGAATTAAGACACTAACAGTAAACATTTCATTCTGTGAAGCTTGTCATGTTTCAGCTTAAGACATGGTCTATTATGTAATGACAAATATTACTCTATCATAATGTACATTTCAGCTAACTGGTTAGATAGTGGAGGTAGAAAGGGTTTCCCTGGAGTTATAATCTGAACTACTGTGGTGGTGTTGGTAACTTCATGTCAATCAAAAGCAAACACTTGGGGGCTCAAAGGGCAATTGTGTTACCTCCAAATCAATATTCCTGAATGAGGTCTGACTTTGTTCACTGCCTTGAAAGCTACATCTGAAAGCTCTCCCACGATCTGTAAGCATATGACTTTTAGTATGAACTCTTATGTGTTTTTTTTTCCAAGTGTGTTGCTGTGTAGAATCTTTTTCAACAGGTGCTGCAGGAGTACATCTTTTCAACTGTATGGATTGTCATGTGTTTCAACACCGTCCCCCTTTGTGTGAATCGGGGGCTCAATGGGTAATTGTGTTACCTCCAAATCAATATTCCTGAATGAGGTCTGACTTTGTTCACTGCCTTGAAAGCTACATCTGAAAGCTCTCCCACGATCTGTAAGCATATGACTTTTAGTATGAACTCTTATGTGTTTTTTTTTCCAAGTGTGTTGCTGTGTAGAATCTTTTTCAACAGGTGCTGCAGGAGTACATCTTTTCAACTGTATGGATTGTCATGTGTTTCAACACCGTCCCCCTTTGTGTGAAACAGTTCCCACACGTTTTACAAGACTACGGCCTCTCTCCTGTGTGAGTTCTTATATGGATCAAAAAAGCATTGCTATATCTGAACATTTTCTTGCATGTTACACAACAATACTGATTCTCCGTTATGTGGATGCTAAGATGTCTATTAAAAATGGACTTGTACCTAAAGTACCACTTGTACCACAAGTGTCACACTTTATTCTATCTGTGGGAGGATTTTTGTGACATCTCCTCTTTGGCTTTGGCTCTGCATTACTAGCTGATCCTGAGTCTCCATGCTGGCTTCCTTCCTGATCCTGGCTCTCAGCTACAGCAGAGCTGTGACAGAGGAGCTGCTGGTCACTGGTTGGTTCTGCTTCACTGTGGTCATTATCCTCATAAGTAGGAGTCAACACAAAGGGATCGGTCTCCTGCTTCAGTCCAAGCTGCTCTCCCTCCTGACTGCTGCAGAGTTCCTCCTGTTCCTGTTTAATCTGTGGAGGCTCTGGGTCCTCTTGGTCCAGACTGGAGTTCCTCTCCTGGTTCCAGAGCTGCTGGTCAGCCAGAACCTCCTCCTCCTTACAGGCATGCTGCTGTGGCAGCTCTGGGGGGACAAAAGAAGGAACAGGTCACTGATGTGATGAGGAAAAAACAAAAGCAATGTTTCTTATTCACCTACTTCTTAGTGCAATTTTTCCAGTCTATTTCAATACGATCTAATTATACCAACTGAATTAAGATACCAACAGTAAACATTTAATTCTGTGAAGCTTGTCATGTTTCAACTTAAGATATGGCCTATTATGTAATTACAAATATTACTCTATCATAATGTAAATCTAGCCACGGGGGTTTCAAGCCAGTGACTTCTGTGCTGGCCCCAAGACCAGATAAATAGGGAGGGTTGTGTGAGGAAGGGCATCCAGCGTAAAACGTGCCAAATTTAAACATGCAAATCATCAGAATGAATTCCATACCGGATTGGACAAGCCCCGGGTTAACGACTGCCACCAGTGCTGCTGACCAACAGGGTGCTGGCGGAAATTGGACTAATGTTGATCGAAGAAGGAGAGGAGGTAGAAGGATTCGTAGACAGAGAGAGAAGAGGAAAGGCAGGAGTATAGGTCTGAGAATAGGGACTCTTAACGTTGGCACAATGACAGGGAAAGGTAGAGAGCTGGTGGACATGATGGAGAGAAGGAAGGTAGATATACTGTGTGTGCAGGAGACCAGGTGGAAGGGTAGCAAAGCGCAGTAGCATTGGAGGGAGATACAAACTGTTTTATTATGGTGTGGACAGGAAGAGAAATGGGGTAGGAGTGATCCTGAAGGAGGAGCTCGTGAGGAATGTTTTAGAGGTGAAAAGAGTGTCAGACAGGGTGATCAGTTTGAAGTTGGAAATTGAAGGGGTAATGTTGAATGTAGT